CTTAAGCAATTACAAGAAAGATTAAAAGATGTAATTTACCTTATTATTGATGAAAAAAGCATGGTAGGAAGGAGAATGCTTAGTTTAATTGACAAAAGATTAAGAGAAGCTTTTTCTGAAAATAATAACGAACCTTTCGGTGAACGGTCCATCATCTTGTTTGGAGATTTTGAACAGCTTTCACTAGTAATGAACTTTCCTATGTATGCTAAAGACGTTTCGCACAATACAACTTCTAATGATGGTACAGCATCATACAAAAATTTCTGGGAGGTGTATAAGCTTGATATGATTCAATATCAATCAGGTGATTTGGAAGAACAAAAATTCTTTAGAGAGATTCTTTTAAGATTACGAGACGGAGATTGCAGTCTAGATGATTGGAAAAAACTTAATGTATGCTTTGAAGGGAAATTAAATAAGATAGAATGCAATAGATTTTTAGATGCCGTATTCATCCTTACTACTTGAGATAACGTAGATAAAGTTAATATAGATATGCTAAGATCGTTAAACTGTCCAGTAGCTAAGATTCTTGCGGTTCATAATGGAGGTCGTGAAGCCCAAAAAGCTGACTCAAACGTCGCAAAAAGACTCAAAGCACAGTTGTTATTAGCCAAAGGTGCACGTGTCATGCTGATAGCTAACATATGAACTGAAGGAGGGTTAGTAAATGGGTCAATGGAAACTATACACAATATTATATTTGTGAAAACTGGACCTACTTCACTACCAGCAGCAGTTTTCGTAAAATTCGATCTTTACGAAGGTCCTAGTATTACTACACTAGAAGGAGACAATGTTGTCCTGATCATTCCTATTAAATGCATCTGGAAAAGTAAATCCAGGAAGTTGTATTCTCAATTTCAGGTTCTATTATGTCTTGCGTAGGCAATAACAGTACATAAGAGCTAAGGGCTTACATTACCGAAGGCCAAAATAGATTTTAGAAGTCAAGAGTTTGCTGCTGATCTTTCGTTCGTTGCAGTGTCAAGAGTTCGTTCGCTCAACAATATTTATTTCAAGTAGTTTACTTACGAAAGACTTTAACAGATTTAGAGTTGCATAAAATTACAAGAAAAGAAGATCGAAGAAAAATGACTAATTTCTATGATATCGAGAGTGAACAACTGAATTTTTTTTTTAATATTTAATTTTTTTTAGCGGTTTCACAATTTAGCAGTATAATTTATTTAAGTTTAAGCAGTATAAAATGTAAATAAATAACATGCTATTTTTACTAATTTAGAATTTGTGCTGATTAACTCAATTATTGAGTAAGAGGAATGCGAACATTTGAGTCAAACAATATATAGAATTATATAGTCCTTCACAACGCTCTGAACTAATTATTGTTCACTCACTCAGATACATTTTTGGGTAGTTTATTTAAGGTAAAGTACATCTCATCATTATATATGTGTTTCTGTTGCTTCTTGTTATAAATCTGCTATTTGGCCATCAGATCTAATACACCTCAAAGCAATGACTTTAACTATTAAAAGCAAAGATTAAAACAAAGTTGAATAAATATTATATGAACATAAATTATAAAATAATATTTACCTTTCATGAGCGTTACAGATAATCATAGATGTGAAGAAATTTCTTTTCTTTAGAGTTCTTTGTACAATATTCGTCTTCTGAATCAGATTGTTCAGGTGAGTGATAATTTTTTTATTATAGAATGGATATGACTTCGTTCTTGTTGAATTCTTGAACACTTTTATCATGCATCTTAAACAAGTTAAATGCTGCCTTTATTTGTCTATTTTTTTTCTAACGAATATTATTAACAATAGTATTAAAATAAATATAATAGGTATATATCTAATCAATTAAATATTTATTTCAGCAAGATGAGTATTGGCATACAATCTTTTATCAACTTTTCCTAATGTTCTAACTTGTCTTTTCTTTAATCTATCTTTATGATGTTTGTGAATAATTTTAAGCTAATTAGACAATTAAGTAATTGATGGTTTGAAAACATCTTCTATCATTCTCTTCAATTCTAAGATCAGATTTTTGTATACAGTTATCACTTATTCAGAGAATGTTTTTTCATAATTCAGTTAATATTCAGCTAGTATCTGTCCTTTAATCAGGATTTTTATCTCAGCCTATAGCAGAAAAGTTACATATAATATAAATTTAAATAATTAAACTGATCATATATTAAAAATACTTACTCTAGCCATGTATTCTTGGCAACTCATGAGGATTATTTCTGAAAATCTGAACTTTACAGAAATGTGACAATTCTGTTTTTAATTTGTAATATTCAGCTATTAGCTTGTCATTTTCATTTCAAATTGTTTATTAAAGGTTCGAATATTCAGAGTTTTTTTCTTTCAATAACTGAATCCTTTTTTCTAGATTCTTTATATTTTTTCTTAATTTGACTTCTATTTCTCGTTATTATTACATTTTAACTTGCAAATAAATATTTTCCTTTTTTGAATTCTTGATTTCTGCATTATCTGTTTAAATTATTTAGTTTTTATACTTAGAAATATAGATACAATTTAATAAATATCACGACAAAATTAACTTAATTATCACCATGTTCATTATTAATTGACCTTAGGATTCTAATATTCAGATATCTTTCAATAAGCTCTACAGATTGATATGTTAGAGTAGTTATTTGAAGTGCTATAAGTGTTACCACAGTTATCAGGCAAATCAGCGCAGTTATTAGCTGAGCTGTTACTAGGCAAACTGAAGTGGTTGTTGAGGTTGAGTGAACTGAAGTAGTTATTTGAAGTGCTGTAGAATGTTCTAATATGGTTAGATAAACTTGAGAATGTGTTACCATAGTTAAACGAACTTGAGAATGTGTTACCGTAGTTGTCAGGTAAACTTAAAAATGTTGCTACAATTACTGAGTAAATCAGCGTAGTTATTAGCTAAGCTGTTACTAGATAAACTGGTATAGGCAAAGGTTGTTAAACTGATATAGGTTGTTTAACAGGTTTTAGTAATAAAATTAGTGGAGTAGTTAAAATTTTGCTTGACCTTGTATAATAATATTTTTTTGATAGTTCCATATTAAAAATATTATTATTCATAAGAAAAAATGTTTGACATAGAAAATTTAACTTATATTTATATTGTTCTTTGTTATTAATCATAATATTTAAAGATTTTGGTGAATTCAACCTATATTGATCATGATTTAATAATATTAAATTTAACTTAAATTTGACATATTGATCATGATTTAATGATATTAACTTAAATTTGACTTAAATTCGCATATTGATTATGATTAGTTGAGTTACTTAAAAATATTAATAAAATTTAAAAATTCAAATTAAAATAATTAAACAATTCAACTTATAAAATTGTGCATGTTACGATATCATTTATTACTACTTTATTTATTATTTTATTAAAATAACAAAAAGATGATCTATTACGGACATTATAAAAAATTATGCAAGCTCTTTGAAATCAAATCTACCTTTCATAGAAGATATTAAAACTATAACAAGAGCATCAAGAACAAAGATTCGATGTTTTTGTGATAAATGTAAAGAAAACTGGTTGATCTGCACACAAAAAATGTACATGAACAAAAAGGATGACTAACTTCTTTAGGATCAGGACAGTTAGTATATTCATCTATTAATAAATTGCCAATATCACAATAAATAGTCAAACTAGTCAACAAGGAATATCTAACATAATAATCAATAATTGATGATGATGATATGCTAGAAGAAATAATTTATAATAATATATTAGAAGAATAAACTTTTATATTCCTTTACGTAAAAAGAAAAAAATAGTAACCTTTTAATATATTATCGTGCATAATGAAGGTAATTTTAAAAATTTTGAAGACTTTAATAGCAATTTATTAACCGAAAATGAAAATAAAGATGATACAGATGATGGAGATGATATGGGAAATGGTAGAGATAATAACAAATTTTCAAATGATTTTGAAGATTATTTCCATCCTATGTTTGATATACCAGATGCCTCAGAGTACTAAAATAAAATCAAGCAATATGGATTTTAATATGGATAATGAAGTTCAGATCAAATTTTAGATTACTAGATATTGCAACCAAAGCATTAATAAAATTTGTTAAAATCATATTAAAAGAGTGCAGAGGTCCCAAATATGAATCATTTTCAAAATTCTTATATATAGTGAGACAAACTCTAGGCATAGTCAATCAATTCATATGTTTTGCAGCTTATCAAAAATATCACAAATTATATAAGAAAGACAATGTGACTAATATTCAACAATTGATTACGAAATGTAGCCATGTAAAATTTCCTAATTCAATTATAAAGAGATTCAAACAATATTGAACTCTTTTAGTAAAACAGATTACTTTAAACAATAGTATATCATTCAAGCCTGAATTAGTCTATCTGATTACAAGTATCTAACATCAACTTTTGAACATGTTTCTTTGACCAGGATTTGAAAATTCCTTATAACATTGGACTAATCATTCACAATATGATAATATTTTATCAGATATTTATGACAATCAGGTATGGTAAAATTTCAAGAAATCGTCTAAAAAAGACTTGAACTATTTTTTTGACCAGAAAAGGCTGACAATCATCTTGAATTAATCATTAATTTAAATTAGTTTCAGCTTTATGACAGAGCAACGAATTCTATATGCCGCATTATGTAATTTATTTCGTAATATTTAGTTTTGATCTAAAAATATAATTATACTTAACATATTACTAGGACTTAATAAGGTTAGCCTGCATAAGATAAACCACTATATTTCACCTATAATTACAGAATTCAGTCACTTTGGAAAGGAATAACTCTTAGTCACATAAACGAATGTCCAAGCGGTAAAAATATTCAAGTAATATTGATATTAATTTTGTGTGACATTTATATAGCTCAAAAACTATATAGTTATATATCTACTCTCATATCATATCACCGTTGCAAAAAGAAAGCGAATTATATTAACAACTAACATAATTTTGGCAGTATATTAAATATGGATAAATGGTTTATTGTAAAAGATTCAGTAAGATATCAACAAAATGCTTTAGACTGGAAATGATATAAAACCAATATCAAATGATTTAGATTAGTTAAAAAAAATGGCATTAGATGGTCAAAACTGTTGTGCTTAATATATTTTGATTCGATTAGATTTGTTATCATAGACCCTATGCATTGTCTTTTCTTAGGCATTGCTAAATAGTTAGTAAAAAGAATATGGATTAATGAAAATATATTAAATCAAAATATTCTTTAAACAATATAAAGGAAAATGATCAATTTTTAAATACTAACTAATTTGAAATGAATATCTGATAATATTCATGAAGGTGAAGAATTTTCTAATTTTACAGCAGACCAGTGGCAAAACTTATTTTTAATATATACCACAGTGTTGTTATGGAATTATTTTCTACTAAAAGATCAAAAAATTCTAACATACTTTATCAGAGTATGTAGAATTTTAGTTAGACGAATTGTAAAGGTTGATGAAATAGATGAAGCCTACAATGTATTAATAAAAATAATAAACTAATTGAAAGGGATTATAGTGAAAAAAAAATAACACTGAATCTACATTTTTCGCTATACTTATATGAGTATGCTTATGATTATAGCTCTTTATACTCATTCTGATGCTTTTCATTTGAATGAATAAATGGCATATTGGGTAAGACAAATTAAATGCTAATTTTTAATTTTTTATTTTCTTTGTTTAATAGTTTTATTTATTTTATTAGAATCATTGCCTAATAGTCAATGTCAGATTAAAACTGAATTGATGTGTTGATTGATTGCTAATGTAAAAATTAATGATATAATCAGTTCTAGTTTAGAAGTAAAAGAGCTTATATTATTTGATATCAAATCTTCTATCAGATTGCTTTCTGATGTGATGATTTTTCAACAGAAGATGTACCATTTTCTATGAACTTGAAGAATACATTAGAATCACTTAATACTGGTTTTAAAATTTTTTAAAGAATTTTTACAACTACATTCTGAAAACGTTCAGCTTAAGGAATTAATATATGATTGTCTTATCAAATATTACATAGATATATATGTAAATTTGACATTTAGAAAACAATTTATAAATGATTTACCCAATTTAATAATAGTTGTTAATAAGGTGAATCAGTATAGGAGATGTCAAATTAGCATGGAAATTTTTAGAAGTACTGCTTCTGTGTGATATATTAAAACTCTTTTATTTTAGCTAAATTTATTAATCATGATAGGAGAAGTGTTGATATCTACCCTGACCAAATTCAATATTTTTCAAACATAATATTTGTATAAACTCATAAATATTAACACATAAATTGGCCTATGTTAGATGGTATAAAGTGGTTAATTCATCTTTAACTCAATTTTACTTTAGTATTAACAATAACGCTGAAACTTGTAATGTTGAGTTGTGAGAAAATAGTTTTTATCCAATCAGTAGAGACTGTATAATCCCAATATATAATATTTTAGGTTGAATTATACCTATGAGATATAGAGTATTAATCAGTCTAATACTAGAGAGTACTTAGCAATTGTTTCACTAAATTGGAAATTTCATTTGGGTTGAAGTTCGAACAATAATTATTCTATTTAAAAATTAATAATAAAATTTAAATATTTCACTATGATAAATTTTGACTATTCTAATAATTTACTTTTATTTATTATACAGATCATATAGCTGTCATTCAACTATTACTAAGTACTAATTATTATCATTATAATAAGAATTAATTATTAAATTTCTTGAGGCAGAAACATTTCAAAATGAGTATTATTACATTTTAAAATAATATCTTATTTATTAGATCATATAATAAGCGTATTCATTTTATAAAAATATAATTTTTATCATTGAAAAATAATCATTTACTTGATATTCAAGTGGTTAGAATCAAAAGATATTTTCTTACAAGTTGTGTCAAAATGGGAAAACTATTCCTATAATTTATTTACTAGGTTAAATAATCATCTTTAACTTTAATATTCTTTATATTTATATAGCATAATACTTTGTCATTATTTATCTATAATTGTTTATATATAATTACCTTCAAAATTGCAAAAAAATCATTGTTGTCATTATTCTGATCTTTATCTTCTATCAGTTCTGTATTATTTAAAATATAAAGATTTAATTTTAATGCATCATATTTTGTTTTTACTAATTAAAGTACTTTATCATATTCATCTAGAGTTGCCCAATTAAAATGTTTAAACCTCAAATTAAAAAACATGATAATTAAAGTATTATTAATCAGAATGGATCATAATTTATCTAACAAAAAACAAATTACAGCTCAAACTTTTTCATCAATCAGTAATATTAATTGATAATAAGTATTCAATTTGATTTATATCTTTAATGCTATTGATCCTTATTCATTTTCTAACTGATCCCATTTGAATTTGTCTTCTTTGACCACAAATTTTTATTCTTTAATAATAGTTAATGTGCATATTGCTATTGTTATCAAGTATCAGCAGTATATATATCATTATCAGTTATTTATTATCACTTTCTTCATAATTTCTTCATAGATAATATTTAGATAAGATTTGATTATCTCATCTTTATCTGATCTTAGAGCAAATTGTTTTTTAAGAGATTTCATAAAAGGATAAATAAGATTAAAAGTAGGATAACTTGCATCATACAAATGCTAAGTCACAATTTTAATCAGTTCTAATAGATTTATAACATTTTATATAAACTTACAAAATAAATAAATAATAAGAGTTAAAAATTTGAATTGTATTTAAAATATGAAATTTATCTTATTTGTATATTAAAAAATAAA